GTACAAATGGATTAAATGTTTTTCTGAGGGGAGAGAATGCGTCACTGATGAAGAGAGGTCAGGGCAGCCAGTAACAAGCAGAACTGATTAAAACGTTGCAAAAATTCATCGTATTGTGCGCCAAAATCGTCAGCTGACTGTGAGAAGCATAGCAGACGAAGTAAACTGTTAGGAAAATCTTAACTGAAAATCTTGGCATGAGAAAGGCGTGTGCAAAAATGGTCCCGAAGGAGCTCACCAATGAACAAAAGCAAAGGAGAGTCGAAGTTTGCCAAGACCTTTTGGAGAAGCAAGATGATGTTTTGGGCCATGTTATCACTGGTGATGAAACATGGGTGGACCAATACAACCCTGAAACAAAGCGTCAAAGTGCACAATGGAAGTCAGCCAATTCCCCATGACCAAAAAAGTTTTGTCAGTCCAAATCAAGAGTCAAAACGATGTTGCTAACCTTTTTTGATATCAGAGAGATTATTCATTATGAATTTTACCAACTGGACATTTAACCAAGTTTACGATTTGGAAGTGCTGAATAGGCTGCATGCAAGACAAAAATGACCTGAACTTTTTGCCAACAATTCATGGTTCTTGCATCACAACAATGTACCAGCTCACACAGCACTGTCTGTGAGGGAGCTTTTAGCCAATAAACAAATAACTATTGGAACATCCTCCCTACTCACCTGATTGGGCCCCCAATGACTTCTTTACCCAAAGATAAAGGAAATATTGAAAGGAAGACCTTTTGATGACATTCAGGACATCAAGAGTAATACGATGACAGCTCTGATGGTCATTTCATAAAGAGTTCCAAAATTGCTCTGAAGGGTGGACTAGGCACTGGTGTTGGTGCACAACTTCCCAAGACGAGTACTTTGAAGGTGACTGTAGTGATATTCAGCAATGAGGTATGCAGCACTTTTTCTAGGATGAGTTCACAAACTTATCAGACCTCGTGTGTGTGTGTGTGTGTGTGTGTGTGTGTGTGTGTGTGTGTGTGTGTGTGTGGAGGGGGAGGTGTAGTCCCATGATGTAAAGTATAGCATAGGGAATATAGTCAGCGGTATTGCATTAGCTATGTACGATGTCAGATGGGTAGTAGACTTGGGGTTNGAGTGTGTGTGTAGTCCCATGATGTAAAGTATAGCATAGGGAATATAGTCAGCGGTATTGCATTAGCTATGTACGATGTCAGATGGGTAGTAGACTTGGGGTTGTCACTTTGTGAGGGGTATAAATATCTAATGATTATGTTGTTTTGTACACCTGAAACTAATAAAAAATAAATAATGCTCAGAGGATCTAAAAGGCCATTTAAATATGTCTGATGATAAAAATGATTCCATTAGAATTAAGCCCTCAAAAATTAATAAAAGGACCTAATTAATCATTTAATTTGAATCATTCATTAAATGTTTGATGCAAATGTTTTTAAAGAATGGCCAACTAGGAAAAAAAAATTCCCCTGAAAATATTTAATGTAAATTACTCCTTGAGATGGTGCTTTTTACAAAACGTTTGTCAGGAAATGCCTTTTTTTAGGGGGCAGGGCAGCAGGAGGATGGGGACAGGATATCAGAAAATGATATGATTGTTTTTATTTTGATGAGAATAACAAGGAATCCCACCCACTCCTCCCACCCCAATTTGCTTTATGTAAAAATACTTCCAGCATAATGAGCAGCAGTCATCAGCGGGAGGCGGCTGAGCCCCAGGAGCCCAGAGAGTTATCTTCAATCCACTGCTTCTGTGCTCTCTCACTGTGTTCAGAGCCATTGACCAAGAACACAAATTCACCTGCTGATCAATCTTCTTTTCTCTCTTTTTATCTCTCTCAAGGCTTCGGTAATACAGCCAAAAGATTACCATGTCAAAAATAAGAACAGATTCTTATAAACAACGCTGTCAGCTTGTGTGGGGTAAAACTAAGGAAGGCACACAATAAATAAAGCAGACCCTGTCTCTTCGGAGGGTTTGCAGTGACCTCCGGAGCGGGGCCGGATCTGTCAGCAGCCGAGCTTCCAACACTGGTGTAATGTTGAGGACTGCCGTGGGAAGGAGGGAGTCCCTCCTTTATCAAGTCCTGTCAGTATACAGGTTCGCACGATCAAATGGAGGAGGAAGTCCTCCAATTCCAATCCAGCGCAGAGCCGTCTGCAGTAAGGAGGACCCCCACTCCAAGTGTCACCACAGCCAGGTTTGCAAGTCTATTTTCCGTACACTCTTGTCAAGTGCTGGTGGCAAATTAGTCCACAGGACTCCATCTGGTATTCACTTAAGTAAATCGCTAGGAAAAAATAAAACTGGAGGTTGTAGCTCAGTAAAACAATAAAGTGCTTTCAATGAGAGTAGCTGTTATTTACTGGTTGTTTTTTGTTTCACCTGAGGCACCAAAATCAACAATATGAAAGGTGACAATGTTTATTTACTAGGAGTAAAAATTGAAAAAGCTTGTTTCTACTAAAAAAGCCTGCATTTCTAAAATGTACTTTTCTACTGGTCCCATGTCTTCATGTTACTAAGTTTTAACTCACTGCTGGGTAAGGAAATAGTTTATGCCGGGGTGGGGTGGCAAACACGAAGACAGAAAAGGGGCGGTCCATAAACATCCGTTAAGGATTCCACATGTGAAGGTGTGAGCGAGGGGCTTCCATCAAAAAAGACAGGCCCCCACGCTGAATCCAATGTGTGTCCAGTTGAGAGGAGACATGGATTGGCTTCTGGAAGGGTCCACATAACAACCTAAGAGTTTATTCTGAGTCCACATGCTTGATAACTGCTATAACACGCTTGCGTCTTCCATGGCCTCAATCCACCTGTAAAACAGAATAGAGGGCATACCTGGTATCGTGACTCTGCCTGTGACTCTGGTCATAGAACCTGTAAGTGACTAAACTAGATTACTATTAGCCTAAGGTCAGGAACCGTGTCATATTCATATTTATTTGTTTCCCCAGCATTTAGCAAGGGCCTGCAGCACAGTGCAAATGTGTGTTGAATCAATGCATGCCTATATGAATGAATCATCATAATCTTAAAAGAATCACACAACTGGGAAGAGGTAGTTCACTGTTCTGTTGTGGCCCAAAGGGACTCAATGGGATAGGATGGCTGGAGAAGAACAGAAGCCAAAGCCCTGGGAAACACCCATTTCCTTCTGAAAGAGGCAAGAAAAACAGGCCTAAGTATTTTGTACCTCTGAGCTGAACTGGTATCCTCTGCTCTGAAGCTATAAAACAGGGTTTTCTTGTGGTAAAGGTGAAAAACAGGTCCTACTTCACTGCTGCCCTCTTCCCTTTCCGGGGCAATGGTGAACCCTAGCAGGGGCATACTCTCCATGGCCACTGTGTCCTGCAGAGGGCAGAAAGGAAAACTGAAATTAAACATGGCACTATATACAGTCAATAGCTTAGCATTCACTGATAACTCCAATTTAAGGTGCGTGATGAGCCCTGTGTGGGGCATGCTTGGGCAACAGTGAAATAACCCCACACATAGTCTTCACCCCCACTTCCTATCAGGACCAGGCATGAGGAGGAAAAGAAATTATTTTGTGACAGCCTATTAGAGTTCAGGCATTTTCACCTTCACATTATCTTGTTTAATCTTCACAGCAATCATAGAAGGTGTCACCCCCATTCTAAGAAGAAACTGAAGCACAGAGAAGGTAAATAACTCCACAAGATCACACTGAGTAAGGGGTAGAGCGAGAATTTAGACTCATGACCACCTTCTAACCCCACATTCTTTCCACTGATTTGATTAGTCGTGACTCACCTAGTTTTCTACAGTTACTTCTGATAACATATTCTGTACTCACTGCCCCATGCCCTCATTCTCAGGGCCTCAGTATGGAGCACTCAGGGTGTCTGTGCTATAAAGGTGCTAACAATGCAATGAGATGCACCCAGAGAACACAGAGGGACCTTAAAATCATAGTGCACAGTGGAAAAAGAGCTTTTATATATAAAGATACTTTTATATACACACATATTCATGTTAAAATACATATTCATAAGCAATACAATTTTACAAAACCACACAATGAGATATAATTATTGGGTCGTCGGGAAAGTCATGATGCAGTTTTCATTGAAAAACAGAAAAATACATCATGACTTTCCCAACGACCCAATAGTTAAGCATATTAGAATGGTTGTGGGAGGAGGAGGGAGGGGAGAAGAGTTTGTGTATAAAAGGGAATCAATTTTTAAAGATTGCTAGATCAGAAACCACATTTGAAAAAAATCGACATCCACTCATGATAAAAACTTGCAGCAAGCTAGGAGTAGAAGGGAACTTCCTTAACCTGACAAAGGGCATCTATAAAATACATACAGCTAACATCATACTTAATAGTGACATACAGAATGCTTTCCCCCTAAGGTTGGGAACAAGGCAAGGGGGCGTTCACTTTTACCAATTAAATTCAACACTGTACTGAAAGTCCTAGCCATTGCATTAAGGCAAGAAAAAGAAAAGACAAAGATCAGAAAGGAAGAAGTACAGCTATCTGTGCTTACAAAGGACATGATTGATTACAAAACAACTACTACAACTAATAGTGAATTTAGCAAGATCACAGGTTAATCAATTTTTAATATCTATAGAATAGCAGCAAACAACTAGAAAATAAACTCCATTCAAAATTATCCAAAAACCAAAATACTTAGCAATAAAATTAACAGAAACACAAGAACAGAAGTATAAGATCTTTATATTAAAAACTACAAAATATTAAAAGAGACATTAAAGAACTAAAGATTAATGCCATATTCATGAATTGAAAGACTCAATATTGTTAATTAAGATGCCAATATTCCCCAAATTGGTCTATAGATTTAACAATCCCTGTCATAATCTCAGCAGGTTTTGTTTTTGTTTTTGTTTTTGTTTTTTTGTAGAAATTGACAAATTTATAAAAGACCTAGAACAACCAAGACTATCTTTAAAAAGAACAAAATTGGGGACTTATACAACCTGACTTCAGGCTTATGATCAAGTTATAGTAATTTCAACAGTATGGTTCTGGCATAAGGGCTGATAAATATATCTGTGAAATAGAATACAGAGCCCAGAAATAGACCCAAACTTATTCAATCATTTGATATGTAAAAAAGACACCAAAATAATATAATAGGGAAAAGAAAGTCTTTTTAACAAATAGTGTTGGAACAACTGGATATTCATATGGAAAAAAAATGAATCTCGACCCCTATCTCACATCATAGACCTAAATGTAAAAGCTAAAACAGTCAAGTTTTCAGAAGAAAATACAGGGGAATTACTTTGTGACTTGTAGTAGACAAAAGTTTCTTAGGACATGGAAAGCAACAGTCATAAAGGAAAAGATGGATAAATCAGATTCATTGAAGTTATAAACTTCTGTTCACCAAGAGATTCATTCATTAAGAAAATGAACAGGAAAGCCCCAGACTGAGAGAGAATAGTCACAAAATATCTGACAAAAGACTGACATCCAAGGTAAATAAAGAACTCCATAATAGGAAGACAACCTACTTTAGAAAATGGGCAAGAGATTTATTTAAACAGACACTTTTCAAAGGGAAATGTAAGAATGAATCATTAGTCAGTAGAAAAATATAAATTAAAACCCCATTGAAATATTACCATACGCTCACCAGAATGGCTAAAATGAAAGACTGACAACACCAAGTGTTGGGAAACATGTGGAGCAACCAGGACTCCCAAATTTACATACATTGTTGAGGGGAGTGTAAACCGGTGCACCATTTTGGAAAATGGTCTGGTAATTTCTTATAAACCAAACATAACTTTCTATAATCCAAAAATTCCAGCCCTAGGTATTTACCCAAAGTGAAATAAAAATCTATTTTCATACAAAAGCCTGTGTGCAAAAGTTTAAAGTGGCTTTATTGATAATTACCCCAAACTGAAGACAACCCAGATGTCCTTCATCTGGTGAATGGATAAACCAACTGGTATATTCACAAAATGGACTACTACTCAGTCACTACTGCTCTATGCAATGTGACTGAATCTCAAAAACATCATGCTGAGTGGAAGAAGTCACACGTGATTCCATTTATATGAAGATCTAAAAGCAGCAAAACTAATCTACGGTAGAAAAAAATCAGAACAGTGTGTTGCCTCTGGGATGGGGCGAGGTGGGGATTTATAGGAGTAGGCATGATAAAAACTCACCAAATAGTACCTTTAAGACACTATTTGTGCACTTCGTTATATGTAAATTGCACTTCAAAAGAAAAACAAAAGTTACACAAATATTGAACCCTTAGATGGAAGTATACTTTGAAAAGCATCAAAAAGTTAGATGGACAGAGGGATGAATAAATAGATACTTGATCAAGGAAGTATAGTAAAATGTTAATTGTATAATCTAGTTGATGGCTACATGACAATTCACTGAAAATTCAACATTTAATGTTTAAGATTTTTTAATAATAATAAAATGTTGGAAAAAAGAAGAGATTCCTTTATATTTCTGACCATCACTTTCTCCCAGGACTATTACTGAATAGCAAGTTGCATCAGCTTTTGGTCACCTCAGGGGACATGACGTGTTTGTGGCAATAATATAGACAGTGCCAATTGGCTATCCCCTTTATCAAACAAACTTTTTTTCTTTGATGGAATTTAAAGCTTGGTCCCATCCCTGAAATAGGCTTATTGAGAAATTGTACAAGTTCCTCTCTCTGGAAGAAACTATTTTGGAAGCATACTTGAATTCATCTTTTAAAAATCAACCTATGTTGTCACCTCTCTTTGGTGGTTATTTAATTATCACTAGCCTTTGTTCACCTAAGCCAGCATTTCTTCCAAAAGTATGTCCTGTGCAACAACAGTTCTATGTGGTGCTCCATGAAGCGTGGCCTGTGGTCAGGCCAGCTTGGGAAATTCCACGTCTTAGAGATCCACAACATGCCTCATCTATGAGAGATTCTGAGAAGTATGACTGTGAGGAAGTCCCACTCACTGCCTGCTCAGGGTTCCCTCAGCACCCAGTTTTCAGAGGACACCAGCAAGTGACCTGTGGACTGCCTGCTCAGGAAGATGCTGCTCTGAGCTGTAGAAGGACCGTACGTCACATTTCAGTTTGTTCTGTAAAAATCAAAATTCTCCTCAGCATAGAAAGCCCCATCCGTGGACATGTGAGTGAAAGGTCCCTTGGGGAGAACACAGCTCACACAGTGCCTGAGTCACTCAGACCCACAGTGGGTCCCCTCTGTCTGTGTCCTTGCTGGCCTCTGGGACCTCTGAGGACAGGGCTGACTGCAGCTGTCACAACTGCAGATCCTTTGTGAGGGCAGCTTTATGTCCCGGAGAAGGAAGTGGCTTCTGCACACTTGCCAGCGTCTGCGGTCAGGGGAGATGGGCCGGCCCTGTGCTCTGTGCAAATCCTCATGGGGTGAAGCACCCACCCTCTGCAGCTGTGCAGAATGCATTGAAGTCCCAACTTCAAAGCAGGCTTAGCCTGTGGAAGCCACCAGATGGTGGGACCTGGACCCGGAAATCTTTCACATTATCCCACAGGTTCATCCTGTGTCAGGAGCCCCCTGCTGACAGCCACAGCCCACACCTGTCTACTCAGGAAGCAGGCTTGCTTTCCAAGGCTCTCTCTCCTGTATTTTAGAAGATGTAAATGTTAAGATGTTCTATAAAAATATAAACTTAAGTTTTATTTAATAGAAGTTACCACAACAGTTCCCTGATACAAGAAATGCACAGACAAAAAGGGTGGTAGCTGCTTTCAAGCTGTTGAATTTTGTCCCAAACAACTGAAATGGGGAGCAGAAAGCAGCTTTCTCTTATGGAGGACCTGGTGTGCTGGATGCTGGGCCTGTGCCATTCAAACACTTTGGCTCACAGGTCAGCATGCTGTACCACCTAATCTCCACACAGAAACGGTAAATTCCTTAGATCTGGGACAGACACGTGGTTGTGTATCCACAGCAACGCTCAGCACATGGCACTGAACATGCTCAATAGAGACTTGACAGACGTGAGAGCTGGAACCAGCGTCCGGGCGTTACACTGCCGTGAGATGACAAGGCATGGTGCACACCCCCATGGACATTCTATAGCCTGAGCTTAACCTGCGGGCCCGCACAGAAGGAAGGGGAGAGAGCGGGAACCACCACTACCTCACTGGCCATGTAGGTGTAGAGCACTTTGCCTTTGATGACAAACCAGAGCTTCTTCCAGTGCCTCTTGCTTTTCTTACACCGGCTGAGATAGCCACTGATGGCGGAGCCCTCTCCGGAGGCGGCCACCTGGGAAAAGGGAAGCAGAGTGGTCAGGGCACCAGGTGGTGGGCACAGTTCAAACGGAGACAAAATGACATGCAAAGCAGTTGGCAGCGCATCTATACTGCTTTGAAATCTGATACGTGGATGGAATCTCAGGATCTATCTGGCACCTGAAAGGCAGCAAAAGTGTACCATGGTTTGAGACACGGGATTCACTGAACAGACCCAGGAGACACAGGAGTCAAAAACTGCCTTCAAGAGTGCTGCCCCCTAGTGGCGTTTCAGATTCTCGGTCCCTCTCCCTAAGTCCCAACCCCCCAATTATGAAACTGCTAATAACCTGAGAGAAAGGTTCTTCCTTCTAAAATTGATTCTTACACTTTTCAGCTTATCGATCTCTTGCATTTAAGGAGGGATTCTTTTTGTACTGTTTACCTAAAGGTTTTATGATCTCCTGCCTACTGGGATGTGTGAACCCCTTATAATTGGTAGTAATCGTCTGTCAGACAGGCTTTATGTGGAGGTTAAGAACACAGGCTCGGAGTAATACCAATCTAGGGTTCCAATATAGGCACTACCAGTTTATAGACGGGTAATGTGCAATTTACTTACTTCCTCTAAGTCTCGGTTTCCTTAGTAGTTAAATGACATATGACGGGTACCTGTCAAGTACAGTGCCTGACCCCACAGTAAGTAACTATTAATAAATATTAATAAAATTTAATTTTATTAATATTAATATTAATAAATATTAATCTTACTATTAGAGCAAGAAGGCCAGGTTTAGAAAGAATTTCATCTGACTTTCTCAATTTTACAGATGGGGAAATTGAGGTCCAGAGGAAGGGAGGGATCTACCCAAGGTCAAATCCCTGCTTAGTTGCAGAGAGGTTAAGAACTGGGATCTCTCAGCAAATACTCCAGAGGTCTATGAACTTCAGTGTAGGGAAAGGAAGCCATGGCCAGCTCGGGCTATTTTAAGAAGCACCAGGAAAGGAACCTACCCATCACAGGACCGGAGCTCCTACACCAGACATTGGCTCTCTCTCCCCCTACCTGCCCTGCTGGAACATCTCACAGAGTGAGAAAGGCGGCATGGACAAAAGAACATGGCAGGGGAAACCAATTCTGCAAACTCCCTTTCTGACAGGTACTTGGGGGGCTGCAGACTTTCTCATGGGAAGCAGGTCTTACTGCTGAGGTGGAGCTCCTGAGAGAAGGGGAGAGGGCAGCAGGAGACTTGGGGACACATTTCTCTGGGAGGCGACTGCAGATCCCATTGGGTGCAGTCTTTTTAGATAAAGAAAGGTTGTCACTTGGGGCAAAAAATACCAAGGGGATAGCTGGGGCAGATCCACAGGCACCAGGGTCAGAGCAGCCTAGAAGGGTAAGAAGAGTGGTTCTCAAACTCTGCCTCCACGGAACACTCTGGTTCTATGAGCTCAACTCATATAAACCACCAGCACGGTGAGAGTGAGCGGGTGAGCTTGTCTAGATTTGTGGAAAGGGACTAGTCAAGTAAACGATGAGCAACCATGATGTAAAACAGGAGACTTATGTGTATGAGCAAATGTGAAATAATATCTAAGACAGATTAAATGGGAAAATATAGAGGAGATTCAGTATAACATGTTATCTTTTGGGTAAAAAAAAAGGATCTATGAATGTACACCTTTGTTATGTATATGCATTACAATTTCTGGAAGGCTCCATAAGAAAGTTGATGTGGTACCTTTGGGGTGGGTGGGGCTGAAGTTTGGGGAGGGACAGCAGCTCACTTTTCATCATAAATTCTTTTGTGCTTTTTTGAAAAAAATTTTTTACCATATATGTGTTATTCCCAAGATCTTTAATATGCAAAAGGATTAAGCGAATGGATAGAACTGTACCCATTAAAATTTTTCACCTCCTGACACTTTTTAAAATCCTTCCCTCCTGCTACTTGATAACGAATATTAATGACAAAACTCAGAAACAGCTGATCACACTTCCTTTGACAGCTTGTATATTCACAGCACACATTTTTTTTGTGGTTGTGATTAGAATTTAGACGTATAAATCTGGTTCTATTTGCAAGATGGAATTGAGTTTAGCCAATTCGGAGGTTTCCCACAAAGAGTGCCATGGCCTCCAGAAGGCTCACCACCTGAGCCCATTTGGGACCCCCAGGGTGACAGCATGGTACAGCTCAGAGGGTCTGCCATGGGAGAGCTAAGCTAGGACTGTAGCTGCTTTAGTCAGAAGAGCCCCAGTGACCTGTGCAGTACCCTTGGGTACTAAGTCTAGGCTATGGGGCAGGAGAGAAAGAAAGGAGAAAAAAGAAAGAGATGGGAGAGGCAGAGAGAAGGATGGGAGGGATGTCTCCTAACACCATCTGCAACCACGTCAGGTCCTGCCTTCTGCCACCAAGCTGGCATCTTCTTGGACATGACCAGGAGACAGGCACTGCCCTTGTTAGTGGTGAGTCAGTCCTCACAGCCAGAATGTCTCCCATTAGGGGTCCTCTTTGTCCCAAAGAGCTTGTCGGACTGGGGCAGGGGAGTCTGACCCTGCCCACTGAGGAAGACCATGAACCTTCCAAATCCTGCCTCCCACGTAGGCAGCCCTACCTGCCTTACCTCGGTCAGGGCCGAAGGGACTTTCTTCTGCTTCTTGAAGGTCGAGGGGTTGATGCTGTGGAAGACGGACGAGAAGGCACTGCTCGAGAAGCGGGGGGAGGACAGGGGAAAGCTCATGCTCACGGGCCGCTCTGTAACCAAGACAAGTCACAGGGGAAGGGGCTGAGTGTCCACACGGACAGGCACCGCATCTTGCTTTGAAACATCGATTCCTGTAAATCACAGCTCCCGGTCCCTCCCGAGATGGGAACTGGCCTCACCATGGGGGTTAAGTGTTCCCAGAAAGATGGGCCTAGTCCCCTCTGCTGACACAAAGGCCTGAAGGCCAGGAGGGGAGGCTTTTCCTGGGTGCTGGCCATCCCTTCTCTCCAGTTCCCCAGGAGGCTGGGGCTGGGCTGTCCTCTCTGATGGCCTCGGTGGCCCCATGGAGGAGAACTCTTTGGTTTAAGGCCCAGGATACGCTTGCTCTCCCTCTGGCCCAACTCTGCTTGGGCAAAGCCTGTCCTGAACACAGTCTCTCAAAAGCCAGCTCAGTTTCCTAAAGGACCTTCATCAGAGGGCCCTCAGCCCTTCCTGACCCACAGCTCCTCTGCTACCCATCTCACAATCTTATCCCAAAAACGGCTCACAGAACACAGGCCTACAGAACATTCTCAAAAAGAAAAGAGAGCTTCCATGGCAATGTCAATGTGAGCACCCTTCTTACTGTCCCTGTCGCCAACAGGCACTGACCCAGTGGTTCCCAAACTTGGCTGCCCACTGAACCTGTCATCTGGGAGTACCTATCAATTTCCCAAGGAACCAACATGTTGGGAAATGGTGCCCCACCTGTGAATTGGAACCCCTGGTTCCTCCTTGAGGGCTGCTTTTGTTCTGAGCCTTCCCGGGAAAGTGGTTTCAGGCACCAACCATGGGCCAGGGAGAAAGGGGAGGGTGGTCCCCAGGTTACCTCTCATTAGGCCTGGGATGTCGCCGCCCCTCTTCTTTAGCTCCCCGTAGCAGCCATCGCAGACCTTGGCCATCCGGTCCTTGAGGTACTTTAGAGGATACTTGTTTCTCGAGCAGTTCCGGCACACAATCTGCAGGCCCAGGTGGGGACGCATGTCAGAGCAGTTCTCACCATCTCAGCACATATAGAAGGCTGGTATTCTCTCCCCTTTGCCTACCTGCCCCTCACCTCCTCCAGGGACTGTGCTAGGTTCCCCTGCTTTCCCAGCATAGCTGCACAGTTTCTGTGCAAGTGCCGATCTGTTTTTCTGATGAGCCCTTAACTGTAACATGATACTTTCTCTCCAAGGACAATAATCACGTGTGTTACAATTTTCTTTTGAGAGTGTGGTGGTGTCATGGAAGGGGCCTGGGATTTGGAACTGTGGATTAAGGACGTCAGTAAAATGGAAATTAACAATTCCTACCTTACAGGGTTGGTATGAACACGCCTCACTCAGGGCTGGCACACAGTAGCTGCTGGATGCCCCTTAATCCCCACCCCATAGCACCCCCATGCACACGCTCCCTCCAGACAGGGAGACTCACCTTGCCACAGGCATGGCAGTGATGACGCCTCAGGGTGAGGGAGAAGTCACAGCCACAGTTCATGCACATCATAACGTGTGTGACAGGCACCAGCGTGGGGGGCCTCTCCCCCAGGCTGACCCCCAGCCTCTCCCGTATCTACAGCAAAGGAATGGGGTGAGCAGTGTGGTCAGGAGACCTGCAGGATGGGAGCCCCCTTTCCTGTATGGGGTGTATATGTATGTGGGGTGGGGTGGGTTCTAATTCTATGTCCTGCCCCTGCTCCACTCTCCTCACTGCATCCTATAGGAAGCTCATCTTGGGTTAGAAGCAGAGCCAACTGGAGGTGCTGTGCTCCAGGCTGGGGCTGCACAGTGACTGCCCCCGAGCCAGGTGGGACCTTGTGGGAGTAGGAGTAGGAGCCAGTGCCCTGAAGGAAAAAGCTGCAAGTCCTCCTCGGAGTGTGGCCTTCCCAGGGAAACCCAGGGCTGTGCAGCTGGTGTCAGAAGGGTCCCAGGGCCCCCACTCACCTCCACGCTGTGGTGGAAGGCCGCCAGAGCCTGGGCCTTGTAGTCCTCAGGGAGGGCTCTGCTCAGGCAGCCATGCCACTCATCCCGCTCTGCACAGGAGCTGTGGGTGTGAGCTGGAGTGAGCGAGGGTGCACGAGGGGACCGAGTCCCCAGTGGGCCCCTGCTCCTTCCCCTATGCCTGAGACTTCTGGTGTCTGAAATCCAACCAGCAAGCACTGGCTACCTGCCAGACAGGCCTGGGCTAGCACCTCAGCACTTCCATCTGCTAGCCGGGCAGCCAGGGCACCTGCCATCCCCAGGCCGCTTCCTCACCTGCGACGTGGGAGTGTCGACATTCTTCCTTTAAATCCCAGGGCTTTTATGGGGATGAAATGACATGTGGGATGTAGACAGTCTGTGTCAATGGCAAAGCAAGGGGTGTTCGGGAGGCTCTGAGGGAACCCCGCTTTAGGAGGGACTGGTGGGCAGGAGGCAGGGGAAGGGGGGTAGACAGAAGCTGGCAAAGGCCAAGGTCCCAGGCTCTCCAACTGCCTCCACACTTCCCCACATAGCTTCCCAGACACTGGCTCATCCAACAAGCTGACTTCCCACGTTCCAGCTCTGTGCCTGGCAGGTTTCCTGTGTGGTGACAGCCACACTGGGCTGTGAGCTGCCCCGGAGTGACAGCAGGATGGAAATTCTCAAAGGCCCCACTAGGTGTCACTCCCACCCTGCACTAAGTGTGCAGCTTCAGGCAGAGAAGGGACCAGTTCTGTCTGGGAGGGAGAAAGGGTGGCGGCCAGCCACATGCCATGTCCCTAAAAGGAGATGTATGGGTCCTGCTGTCCCCTGGAAGCTTCAGTGTGAAGTGTCTGGGTTAACAGGAAGATGACCGGCTCGTCAGTGACAGCAGCTCCTTGAGGCCACTGGCTCAAGGGCAGGGCCTCTGCCTAAAAGAGACGGGCAGCCCCACCTGAATGAAGGGCTGAGCCTGGCCTGTCAGCATCCTGACCTCATGGCAAGCAGAAACCATACCCTAGGTCTCCTCAGGTCCCTGATTTTACCTAGAGATAAGGGGAGGAGAGGCCATGAAACCCCAGCCAGGCATCACCGCCTCCAGGAAGCTGCCCCTCACTCCCCCAGATGGGGTGGTCAATCTTTGAAATTTTCAAGGCTTCTTCTGCTCAGGCAGCGTATAGTAGTGGATAGGTGCTCTGGGGTCACACAGTCCTGAGTTTGAACTCCAGTTCTGCCTCACATGGCTGTGGGACACCTCCCTAGGTCCCAACTCCCCATGCATGGGAGGAGCTGCAAGGCCCACTTCTAAGGGTGGTGATGAGAGTCAGAGGAGGGGTCTGAGACCCCACAGGGGCTCCGGGCATGTTACTCTTGTCATCACCACTATCCAGTCTTACAGCAGTTACGTTCTGCCTTATAAGCAGTTCACAGCTCTCCTACCCAGAGTGTGAGCTCCACCCAAGCAAACCAAGGCTTAAATCGTTTGTGTCCGCAGCACAGGACCTAGCACTGAAGGGCTTAAAATGCTTAATGCCCAAATGCCTCTACGAGACAGCATGTGAGTCAGTGTGTGCACATCCCATGTCACACCCAGAACCTCCACCCCACACAAAGGGCACTGTTGCCACCCCAGGGGTATGCACTCCCTGAGAGGGAAGACACCCCAACCTTGGGACCCTGTCCCACCCCCACCATGCCCAGTACACTTCCCTGGTTTCTGAGCTCAAGCTGGCCTTGCCCTGAAAGAAGGCGGGGTGTGGAGTGTGGAGGGGGGAAGCTCTTTCACTGACTAAAGCCAGTGAGCAGGAACCCCTGGGCTGCCGAGGGCCTGGATGGTTCTGGGAGAAAGGCCACACTCCAAACCGGGGGAAAGCTAGATGATGAAGGCTCATTCGTCATTTTACTCGCCAGACATAAAAGTCTAAAAGCAGCCACTACGCGCTAAGGTGCACAATGCTTTTTTACTCGCCTTAACTTTTTCTGTTGCTGTAAAGACCCAATAATCCATAGAGTTTTACAACCATAAGGTATTGTTATTGTTATATTTAAAAAATGGGCTCTAGAAGCCCCTGAAGTTCTATATAAAATTTTACATGCATGTACATTTTTTTCAAGGGGAGAGAAGCCATGGTTTTATCAGATTCTTAAAGTGGTCTGTGACCCAAAAAATAAGAAACACTGCAAAGAAAAAAAAGTCCTTTGATCCAAAGGATACCAAAATAAAAACAAAGACACATCCAGCATTTGTTATTCCAAGCTGTCCCACCTATGAACCCTGTCCCTTTGTCCCCTAGGCCCTCCCTCTTCCCACCTCCCCATACCTTGCAGACAGAGTCAGGCAGGACTCTGGAGTCTCGATCTTCAGAGCGTAGGGCACTTTCTCCATCACAGGGCGACTGACCTGGAAACCAACAGCAGCCCCTCAGGGCGGGGGCGGGGAAGGGCAACCATAGGCTGGATTCTTCTCCTGGTCCTGCTCCTGCCCCTCTCGGAGCCTGAGTTTCCTCAGATGCTCAGAGACATGGCAGGTGTGTGTGTGTGTGTGTGTGTGTGTGTGTGTGTGTGTGTGTGTGTGTGTGTGTGTGTGTGTGTGTGTGTGTGTGTGTGTATATATATATACGCGCGCGCGCATGCGCGCTGGGGGTCCGGCTGCCTACTCCAACTCTGATTCCATGCTCCTTGACCACCACCCAACCCCAGGAAGGTTGAGGAGCATCCATCTCAGGACGCAGCCTCGGGGAGTCCTGCTGCACAAGTACCGGCTCAGTGACCATTCTCTCCCACTCCCTTGTCCAACAGGCTCCTCAGTGGAACCTTTGGATGAGAAGAGAACAAATCTCCCCGCTGAGAAAGGTGCTTCCTTCTTCCCCTTACTCATGTAAAAGAGCCCCCAGGAGCTAGAGAGGTCCACACAGTGCCTCTTATGGCCCTCTTCGTACCTCAGTGTCCCCACCCGCTCTGACCCCCATCACCACACTGTGCCAGAATTAACTTCCTAAAAACTGCTCTTAAGAGTTAGGCCCTCAAGAATCCCCATCAGCTCCCAGCCACCCCTGCTGTTCGGGATGAAGTTACACTGAGCTCGGCCACACATGTCCAGGCCCCTTCCTTCTTGTCTCTTTGCCCTCACCCACGAGACTGGGCTGGCGTCTGTCCTATATTTGTTTAAGAAATATTTGCCACTTGAACAGATATTTGCACCCCCAAGTTCATAGTAGCATTATTCACCATAGCCAAAAGTGGAAGAAACCCAAGTGTCCATCCATGGATGAGTGGACAAACAAAATGTGGCATATACATACAACAGAATACTATTCAGCCATAAAAAGGAAGGAAATTCTGATACATGCGACAACATGGATGAACCTTGAGGGCATTCTGCTAAGCGAAGTAAGCCAGTCGCAAAAGGACAAATACTGTATGACTTTATTTATTGTGAGGTGCCTAGAGAAGGAACTCTCATACACTGCTGGTGGGGTTATAAATTGGTGCAGCCACTATGGAAAACAGTATGGAGATGCCTCAAAAAATTAAGAATAGAACTACCATATGATCCAACAATTCCACTTCTGGATATTTATCCAACAATATGAAAATAGTAACTCAAAAAGATACCTGCATTCCTATGTTCACTGCGGCATTATTTACAATAGCCAAGATATGGAAACAATCCAGGTGTCCATCAGTGGATGAACGGATCAAGAAAATGTGG